ACTTACGGAAAATGAATATGTAAGTCATTTTACAGAAAACACAAAGGAAACTCTGTTACTAGGAAAATGAATTACATTCCGGAAAACCAATTAGGTGAAACAAACACGGGAAAACATTTTTCGGAAAACTAATTACATGAAACAAACACGGGAAAATATTTTTCAGAAAACAAATTACGTGAAACAAACACGAGAATTCAGAAAAAACCAATTCCGTAATTTCAATTACAGCAAACAAACACACCCTTAGTATCTAATATATAATAATAATAATAATAATAATTGTAATGATAATAATAATAATAATATAATAATAAAAACTAAAACCCGGAAAAAAACGGGTGTCTACAAAAGCAATCAACAATTTCCTTCAGTTTCATTTTCAGTCCTTAGAGAACTGCTGCAACAGTGCATACAGAAAAATGATCTTAATTAAAGGAATGCATTTCAATTTAGCAAATTCAAAATTCATAGAATGCAGTAGTGTGCATGCTAGGTGTATCCAATCAATACTTAGCTAAGTTAGAAAAAATTGTTCCTACTTAGTTTATGATTTTCAATGCCACAACAATATATCTTGATTTATGTTGGAGCTATTACCAGCTTATCCAACTTTTTCCCTAAGACTATATTGGAGCTATTACCAACATTTCCAACTTATTCCTAAATGTATTAATTTCTTTTTTTCTTTCTTTTTTTTTTGAGAAAAATCACTGCAACATCTAATAAAGATATGAGATTTAAATTTCAAAATTTTCTAACATCTCTAAGTATTGAGAACATATACCTAAAGTGTTGAAAAGTTTCTACGAACTTTAATTCTACTAAGTGTCTACAGTATTCTCCTAGCATTTCATAGTATATGATTTTTCATCATTGGGCATCAATAAAATTTCCTAAAAGAAAATAACTTTCATTGATTTCCTAATATTTATCAGCATTACAAATGCATTTCCTATGTGCTGTAACAAAATGTTGAAAACATGCAATTAAAACTAAACAATATGCATTCCTTGTAATACCCCAAACATCGGGTCACTGATTGTATGGAAAGGATTTAAAATTTATAGGATTAAATTGAATAAATAGTAATGTATAAGAAATGATTTAGAAATTGTGATTAAGACCAATTAATAAGAATGGGAGAATGAAAGGGTATTTTGGTTCTTTCGAGGGAAATATATTTAAAATTTATTTTAATTAGGGTATTTATTAAGGGGGAAAAATAGGAAAAGGGCAAAACAAGCTAAGTTTTCTTCTTCCTTCCCCATTGCCCGTGCTCTCCTCCATAGCCAAAGGTAAGGCTTCATTTAGCTAGTTTTTCCTTCCGTTTTTGAGTTGTTCTTGAAACCTTAAGTGATGTGGAAGCTTAAGGAAGGTTTAAAGAGGATTAAAACTAAGAAATTGATGATTTATTTAAGATTAAAGAAAATGGGTTTTTGAGTGATTTATTGAAATATGAGTTTTTATTGATGTTTACAAGTATATTTGACTTGTCAAATAAGTAAATAAGAGATTAAAAGTATTGGATGTGATTAAAAACATGTATGAAAATGTAGTATGATTCTTGGTTTGGGATGTTCTTTGGAGAAATTAGATATTATAAGAAGCTAAATGGAGGAAAGTTAGTTGGGTTAAGTGATATTAAGTTTAAGGTTATTGTTTGAGGTAAAAGCAAGAGATTTAAACAAAATTAGGTAAAAATTGAGCTAAAAAATGGAAAATTTGGGTAAGAGTATTGATACTAGAAGAACAGTACCGATACTATAGGTTTAAATTTGAAGAATTACGATGAATAGAATTGGTATTGATGCAATTAGTACTGATATTGTTGTGGGTATCGATACTGTGGATTCTGGAATGCAAAAAACATATCGATACTGAAAGGGAGTATCAGTACCATATTATTGAAGTATCGATACCACGGTAGGGGTACCGATACTACTGAGCCTGAAAAAGTTAAGATAGGAGGAATCTTAATAGAAATTAAATATAATAATACTTTTGAGTATGATTAAAAGTATGTGTTAGAGATTAAACTAACATTGGTATGATATGTGTACTTAATGGATACGTGTGTAGATCATAACAAAGGTCCCAAGTCAAGCAAGAAAAAGGGCAAGGATAAGGTTACCGAGTAGTTGGATGCCATTACAACATACTAGGGAGGTATATCAGGTGAGTGCATTTATTGTAATTATATGGGATGAGGAAGACTCGTAAATAGTCAAACTTTAATGTTTTGATTTAACATATGTTTTACATTATTTGATAAATTTTTATAATGGTGTATTTTTTGTAGAAAGGTGCCACTAATGCAAGTTAAATGTTTAAAGGTGCAATTTTGGCATAAATGTGCTACTCATGGAAGTTAAATGTTTAAAGGTGCCACAAATGCAAGTTAATGCATAATTGTGCATTTTTAGCAGAAAGGTCCCATTAATGCAAGTTAAATGCATAATGGTGCATTTTTGGCAAAAAGATGCCACTAATGCAAGTTATAGGCATAATGGTGCATTTTTTCTAGAAAGGTGTCACTAATGCAAGTTAAATGCTTAAAGGTGCATTTTTGGCATAAAGATGTCACTAATGCAAGTTAAATGCACAATGGTACATTTTTTTTTTGCAGAAATGTGCAACTAATGCAAGTTAAATACATAACGGTGCTTTTTGTTTTTGCAGAAAGATGCCATTAATGCAAGTTAAATGCTTAAAGGTGCATTTTTGGCAGAAAGGTGCCACTAATGCAAGTTAAATGTATAACAGTGCATTTTGGCATAAATGGTGCCACTCATAGTTTAACTGAAAGATTTTAAATGATTCTCATGAAGTATACGAATTATCTCAGATTTTGATAGTCATTACATGCTTATGTATGAATTGTAGTTTATTTACAATATTATGCCTCACTAAGTAAATACTTAACTGTGTTTATTTCATGCGTAGGGAAAAACAAAGACTAACCGAGTAAGGGTGCAATAGCAGCTATCATCAATCTAAGGTTGACTCATCAGTAACAGTAGGACAATAATGTTTATTTTGAAAATTAACTGGCATGTAATCCAAATTAAGAAAAATACTCTGGAATGTATTTAAAGTAATAATTTTTGGTAATATGTTTCAACGAATGTATTATTATTGTACTAAAAAGTTTTGTTTTAATTTCAAAACAAAAATTTATGGGTTTTACAAATGAGTGAATGTTTTTAAAAGTCATGTGACACCTATGACTTGTATACGAAAACGTATACAGGTGATGGGTGTTACATTTATTGATATCAGAACTACATGTTTAGTTGATTCTTGGCCGAAAATGAGTTTATTTGAATTTAGAAAAAGGGATTACATGCCATTTAGATTGTCAAGGTTACTGATATGGATCGAATAAAAGAATATTCCTTCATTAAAAAAAGCTCGAGATTAGCAATCCTCCATCGGTAAAGCTAACTCGACTATTTCTTATCAATAAAAGAATATTCCTTCATTAATAAATATATGAATCGAATATAAATGAAATTAGATGATTTACATTCACAAACAATGAAATAAATTGATAAAAAAAATTGAATATGCATTGTAGAATAAAGATTGATAACTTGCATGAAATGAAATAAAATATGAATTAAAATAACACACATTGTATCAGCAAAATAAATTAATTAGTAACATAAACCCGATTTATTTCAAGTTACTATGTCCTTAAAATGCTGTACAGGATCGCACCACTTCAACCAAGTGATACTTTCCACGCTCATTTTACGAATACGTGATTTGAAACACATTCGGATGCGTAAACCTTTTAATCAAGTACGAGAGACACATAATATTGATACAAAGGCTAATTTAAAAATTAAATTAATATGAATGAGATAAAATAATATAATGAAATAAACAATATATAAGCATACAAGGATTAAGAAAAAATAATTAAACACACACACACACACATATATATATATATATAATAAAACATCTAATATAATAAAAATAAACATATTAATTAAACGGTTTGAACTAGGATAATAAAATGGCATTAAAAAACAAAAGGACTAAATTATAAAAGGACAAAATAACAAGCATAAATATGTAATAAACACTATAATTTCACTTACAAAACCAAAATAGTGACCAAAATGGGCTAAAAGTGAAATCTAAGATCTATGATACAAATTCAAAATTTATCTTCCAAAATAATATTTAAGGACTGGAACAAAAGAAAAATAAATTCAGGAGCCAAATCATAAATACAGATAAATTCACTACTACACAAATAAGGATCTAAATGAAATAAATCATAAATTAATAGCCTAAAATAGACATTAAACTGAATTTATATTAAAGAATAGATAATGATTAAAATACAAACAATCAATACTTGAAGCTAGATATTAAAGGATTCAAAGTTCTATTCAGTGACTAATATGAAAACTTTAAAAAAATCTGTGCTCAAAGTAAAATATCAACATACACATATTTAATATAAAAGCTAGGACTAAAATACAAATGAAATTAAATATGAGGCCCGAAGTTAAAGATTTCAAAATTTCATTAATGACCAGTTACAGGACAATACAAACGTGGGGACTTAAACTGAGATTTACCCTGAAAATAAATGTTAAATATGGGTAAGATTACAAAAGGCATGGATCAAACTGATGATTTACCCCCAAACATTAAGAACACAAGTGTAAGATTATAGGGCTACGAGGACTAAAAATGCTATTAGCCCTAAATGCAAAACACGTAGCCCCCAACCCTATTCAAAATGACTTCGTATAGCTGTGTGGTTATAAACCATATTTAGGGTTTTGAAACCCTAAACTTCCCCTATTTTCCCCCTTCTCTCAACCGCTTAACTCTCCCTCTCCCTTTTCTCATATTTTCTTTGAAGTTCCTCGTCGAGGAAAGATCACAGCTCCCCGGCCACCGTAGATCAGTGGCCACGGGGAGCAAAACAACCCTACACCCCTTCTTATCAACTTTAAAACCCTATAAACCGAATCTCTTGACCCTCCAAAGTATTACCAAAACTGAAGAGAAAGAGAAAAGTTACCTTCTACTTGGTTCTCCTAACTCCGATGGTACCACTAACGACCAAATCTCGGCGAAAGGTGAGTGGTTTTCGCTATTTGATTTTAATGGTTTTTTCTTTCTTTCCTATTTTTCCTGGAAAACCAAATGGTCCCCCTCTTTTCTCTCTATTTTCTGCTTTTTCTTCAACCCCCATAATGAATCTTTTTCTCTCGTTGCATGTTGATTTAATATGCTCGTTTTGGTGAGATTATGATGTCTAGAAAAATAGGGGATGGGTCTATGTTGTTTGGTATGATTGAATCCCGAAAAATTAGGACTTAGGCTATTTTTTATTTGGGGTTTTAGATTTGATTTGATTTAGCTAATTTGGTGTTGTGTTTGGGTATTGTGGATGACGCTCGGTTACTATTTGGCCGACTCGGTGGATCGACGACGACTCACTCATCGGTGGGAGCTGGAAAACCAAGAGGCGGCGGTGGCTGGCAGCTAGATGATATTTAGGGTTAAAACCCTAATTGCTTTGGGCCAGATCCATGCCTGGTTCGAGTTGTTGTAATGGGTCAGTTGGGTCACTTGTTAGGCGGTTCACTGCTTCTGGGTTGTATTTTAATTTGGGCTCCATTTTCAAGCCTGAAAAAGATGTGCAATATATGTAAATTAAAAATAATAATAATAATAATAATAGTCATAATATTAACATTAAAATAAATAAAAAGAAAGACCCGGACAAAAACGGGTGTCTACAATGTCAAAAGGGTGTATAGCTTTCCTAGCTAATGTGATAGACACTTTAATAATGAAAGTGAAATTTGATGATATCCCAATGGTTACGGAGTTTCTGGATGTCTTCTCAAGGAGTTGTCGGGATTACCTCCAGTTCTTGAGGTAGAATTCAAGATTGAGGTTTACCCGGGTACCAAACCTGTTTCTATGGCTCTATGTCGGATGACTCAAACGGAGTTAAGAGAATTAAAAACCCAATTACAAGAGCTACTCGATAAGGGATTTATCAGACCTTGTTTCTCCTTAGGGAGCACCTGTGCTCTTTGTGAAAAAGAACGGGTCTATGCGATTATGCATTGACTACCGTCAGTTAAATAAAGTAACGATAAAGAATAAATATCCTCTTTCAAAGATTGATGATCTATTCGATCAATTGAAAGGTGCAATAATGTTCTCTAAGATAGACTTGAGGTCAAGTTACCACCAATTAAAGATCAAAGAGGATGATATTTTCAAAAAAACTTTTCGGACTCGGTGTGGTCACTACGAATTTGAGGTAAAAGTAAGAGATTTAAAAGAAAATTTGGTAAAAATCGAGCTAAAAATGGAAAATTTGGGTATGAGTATCGGTACTGGAGGAACAGTATCGATACTGATGCAATTAGTATCGATACTGCTGTGGGTATCAATACTGTGAGGAAGGTATCGATACTATGGATTCCAGAATATAAAAATGGTATCGACACTGAAAATGAGTATCAATACCATAATATAGAAGTATCGATACCATGGTAGGGTACCGATACAACTGAGCCTGGAAAATTTAAGATAGGAGGAATCTTAATAGAAATTGAATATAATAGCACTTTTGAGTATGATTAAAAATATAAGTGTTAGAGAGTATACTAACATTGGTATGGTTTGTGTACTTAATGGATGCTTGTGTAGATCATTACCAAGCTCCCGAGTCAAGCAAGAAAAAGGGTAAGGATAAGGTTGCCGAGTAGTTAGACGCCATTACAACATACTAGGGAGGTATATTAGGCGAGTGCATTTATTGCAATTATATGGGATGAGGAAGACTCGCAAAGAGTCAACCTCTAATGTTTTAATTTAATGTATGTTTTATAGTATTTGATATATTTTTATAATGGTGCATTTTTTGCAGAAGGGTGCCACTAATGCAAGTTAAATGCTTAAAGGTGCATTTTTGGAAGAAATGTGTCACTAATGCAAGTTAAATGCATAATGGTGCATTTTTGGTAGAAAGGTGCCACTAATGCAAGTTAAATGCATAATGGTGTATTTTTTGCAGAAAGGTGCCACTAATGCAAGTTAAATGTATAATGGTGCATTTTTGGCATAAAGGTGCCACTAATGCAAGTTAAATGCAAATGGTGCATTTTTGGCATAATGGTGCATTTTTGGCAAAAATGTGTCACTAATGCAAGTTAAATGCATAATGGTGCATTTTTGGCAGAAAGGTGCCACTAATGCAAGTTAAATGCTTAAAGTGCATTTTTGGCAGAAAGATGCCACTAATGCAAGTTAAATACATAACGGTGCATTTCGACACAAAAATTGCCACTCATAGTTTAACTTAAAAGGTTTTAAATGATTCTCATGAAGTATATGAATTATCTCAGATTTTGATAGTTATTATATGCTTATGTATGAATTATAGTTTATTTACAGTATTATGCTTCACCAAGTAAATACTTAACGTTTGTTGATTTCATGCGTAGGGAAAAACAAAGACTATCATCAATCTATGGTTGACTCATCATTAACAGTAGGACAATCATGTTTATTTTGAAAATTAGCTGGCATGTAATCGAAATTAAGAAAATTGCTCTGGAATGTATATAAATTGATAATTTTTGGTAATATGTTTCAACGAATGTATTATTATTCTACTAAATTGTTTTGTTTTAATTTTGAAACAAAAAATTTATGGGTTTTACAAATGAGTGAATGTTTTTAAAAGTTATGTGACACCTATGACTTGTGTACGGAAACGTATAAAGGAAATGAGTGTTACATTTCTAGTAAAGAAACAAAACAAAAACTAGGTAACACACCGCAAACCTAAGCAATACATTGTCCTCAATGCATGCTATCAAAGAGAAAAAAATCAAATAAAAAATATGGGAAAAGGAAAATAATACTCCCCTAATGTTGGTAAAGATGTTGTGTAGATATGACTGGGTGGTTGTTTTACCAATGTCATGCAACGATACAATCTGGAATTCAAAAGGGTATTGGGTAGCAATGGTCGTTTGTAACTCCACCTAATGTTGTGAAGCATAGGCAACTTGTGATGGATGATGGTAAAAAAATCTTATCAAATGTCATAAATAACTTATTAAAAGCATGTAAAAAATGATTTCACATAGTGAAATGGAGATTTGTGGTAACTTCTCTTGGGTCCCAGTAAAATGACTCTCCATTATGCTTGTCAACAGTTGTGTCATCAACATGCTACTCTAGGTCCTTTATGCTTTTGAGATAATAACATTGTTCGAAGAAGAACTCACGCTTGCTGGAATCAGTCATGAAGCGTACTTCACCAGTCACCATAGAAATGTTGTGGCTTCACGGGGTGATTTTTGGAGACAATCTTCCATCTTTAAAGCCTTGAGAGATCTTCCTTATTGCCTTCGCTGCTACTGTATCATTATTCACCATGGTATCATTTATAGTTTTCCTCAGGTGCTCATGTTATGGCTTTCTAATCAGTATTAGTGGTGTAGAACAATTGTTGATGCCAATATAAATGTAGAAGCATTTGGTTCCCCTCTGGCTTGTCTTATTCTACTATTTCTATGACATTGGGAGTGTTAACCTTAAGGCTGTAACATTCGTTCATATTTTCCTGCATAATTTCATCGATGATATTAATATAATGATATTCAACATTATCATCATTCATAACAGAGTTTAAAGTAGTAAAGGTAATGTCATTAAGATGCATAGAAAGTTTTCCCTTCTCAACGTTGATTATTGTTATACCTGTAGCAAGGTAAGGTTTGTCAAGTATGATCGACATTTTTTCAGATTCATAGTCTGGAACAATGAAATTTGTAGGAAAAATAAATTTGTCTACTTGGACTAGCACGTTTTCTATTATGCCCTCGAGGTGAACAATAGATTATTAGCAAGTTGAAGTGTCACGACAGTATGTTAGGCCTCACCAATGCCAAATTTCCTGAAATAGATAGAGGAATTAGATTAATGTTGGAACCTAAATCACACAATGCTCTTCCTACAAATCGATCACCAATAACACAAGGGATAGTAAAAATCCCTGGAGCCTTTAATTTTGGTGGCAATCTACTCGCAGCCATGGTACTGCACCCTTCAATGAGTACAATAGTTTCAAATTCACCAAGTTTTCACTTTTTGGAAAGAACTTCCTTCGTGAACTTGATGTAATTCGGGTTTTGCTCCAAAGTATCGATCATAAAAATCCCTGGAGCCTTTAATTTTGGTGGCAATCTACTCGCACCATGGTACTGCACCCTTCAATGAGTACAATAGTTTCAAATTCACCAAGTTTTCACTTTTTGGAAAGAACTTCCTTCGTGAACTTGATGTAATTCGGGTTTTGCTCCAAAGTATCGATCAACAGAATGTTGATTGTTAGTTGCTTGAGCACCTCAATGAACGCTTGGTATTGATAATCCTCCTTAGTTTTCTTAAATCTTTGAGGAAAATGAGAAGACTTCCTTATTTTTGGTTGCTACGACATTGGCGTTGGAAATATTATTTGTGGTTGTTGTGGCATTGAGAATGGAGAATCATTTGGAAGTGTGGTAGGCATTGTTGCTTGCAATGGTCCAAAATTACTACATTGTCCTGTTTCTCTTGTTGTGACACTAATAGTGGGCGTTTCAAGATCGACTTTCATATTTTTGTCCTTTGAATGCTTAGTAGCCCCTTCATAAATAGACCTTTTTAGGGTGTTCAACAGGTTTCTCAATGTGGAGACAACTTCAAGCAGTAATAGCCTTGCAATTCTCATTGCATTGAGTTTCCCCTTGTTGCTTTGGATTCTTAGTATTGTTGGAGAGTATTCCTTGTAGTATATTTCTCAAGGCATTCACCATTTGGCTAACTTGGTTCTCTAAAGCTCTTAATGACGTCGATTGACTTTCCATGTACTCATTCATTAAGGCTTTGAGAGATGATAGATTGGAAGTTTGTATCGAGGATTAGCCTTGATAGTTTTGCCTTTGCTATGGCTGTGTAGCCTGATGCTGTAACAGAGGATGTGGCATCGTTTGCTTTTGATTATACTGTTTTGGTTTATTTTAATGATGCTATTATGGATTGGCAACGTTTTGGCTCCTTCAAGAAAAATTAGGATAGTTACGGAAGTTGGCATTTTAAGTGTTGTCATAGGAATTATCATTCCTATTGAATTCCTCACATAGTAGATGGAGTTGGGATTTTGGGGGCATTCCTCATAGCTATGATCATCTCCACAATAGACACATGAGATATGGGATGATGTATTTGCATCGTACACCCCTCTTGACTTTTGTAACTTCTTCACTATGTCCTTCAATGTTTTGATTTAGGAAGCCATTAAATTGAAAGCATCAGAATCCACTGTTGCAACATTATGTATGCCAAGCATGTTCCTTGTGTTGGGGTATTGATAATCATGGTTTGATATTCTTTCCAAAATATCATATGCCTCATTATATGTCTAGTCCATCAATGCTCATCTTGCTGAAGCATCAACCACCATACGAGTGTACATGTTAAATTCATTTTAGAACATTTTCATTTGTGTCCAATTTAGGAATTCATGCTTTGGAAATTTTTGCAACAAGTCCTTAAATCTTTTCCATTCCTTATACAAGCTTTCATCTTTTATTTGATTGAAAGAAGTGAGGTCGTTTCATAGATTTGCATTCATATTTGGTGGATTGAATCACATCAAAAACTTGTGTTAGCTCGTTTCAAGATGCTATAGCACCAGGTGGAAGAGATGTTGTTGAAAACATTCTGATGTTTCGATATAACAAATAAAATATTAATGAATTTTAAGATTTTATATTTAATTTCAAAATTAATATTCAATCCAATGAATCGAATATCACATATATTACTCCAAGTTTTTAAATGTCAATTTTACTCCTTACTTATGTGAAAAATTGTGTTTCAATCTTAAAACATTTTTGAAATAATTTTTACAAAATATTTGGAACCAAAATCGAGCCAAAAATGAGTTTTAAATAGGGAGGTACTGATACCCTCCTAATAGGTATTGATACCCCTACACTTTGAATGCAATAAGGGTATGGATACTCATAGGGTACCGATACCCCTATACAAAGAGGTATCGATACCTAGCTCAAAGGTACCGATACCCCTTATGTTAATTTTGGCTCCGCGAAAAATAGAATGCCCAATGGTTACCGATACCCCTGAGAGGTACCGATACCCTTAGTCATATAACGGTCGAAATATTTGAATTTTACACAGGAGGTACCGATACCCTTACGCCCCCAACAGATTTTTGAAGATGAATTCACACCAAAAAGGCTATATTGACCTCACCAATGATCCCCCAACGTTCAGAATTGATCCAAGGTGTATTTAAACAAGTTCTGAAGCCTATAATCAACAAGAATTGAGAAAGAATCAAGAGAGTAAGCATCAAACATCAAGTTTGAGAAATTCAAGCCTATTTTCATTAAATATTCATTTTGCTTTCAAGAACACATTTTGTGCTCAATTGTATTCATATTTGAGTGTTCTTTTCTTGTTATAAAATTGTGCAAACAATCTACCTTGTGAGGTTTTTCTGTAGGTTTGTGAATTTGTAATTTTCTCTTTGGGATAGAGTGTTCTCAAGAATTTATGGTATAATTCTTGAGGGATTTGTAAGGTTACTCTTTGTCCTCAAAAGAAAGAAAAATTAGTGAATTTGTGGAAAATCCTTAGTGTGGATAGATAAGGTAGTAGACGTAGACTTTGGTTGAGAAAGTCGAACCACTCTAAATCACTATGCAAATATTTTCAATTTTCTGTCAAATCTTCCACCGACGTTTTTAATTGCCAACTCACCCCCTCTTGGTCGATTCATCCGATCGATTAACTCAATAATTGGTATCATAGCTACACTCATTTGAAGGTTTTACAACCTTTTAAGTAGATTCAGGAAGAGTTCGATTGATATTCAAGTCATCAATAGCCTCCACATCAAACTTCGACTTCGTTATTGATTCTCAGCCTGTCAACAAGCCTTCTTTCTTCAATAGAGCTAATTATGCTTATTGGAATAATAGGATGAATTACTTCATTCAAGCAAGTGACATGGGAGCATGGAAAGTCATGATGAACGGATATTCTGAACCATCCACAAATCCAAATTTATGGAGTGAAGAAGAGACGAGATTATTCCAGCTCAACTCAAAGGTTATCCATATTCTTTTCTGTGCACTTAGACCAGATGAATACGGGAGAGTATCATATTGTACAACCGCCAAGTAGATATGGGACAAACTTCAAGTCACTCATGAAGGAACCAACGAGGTAAAAGAATCTAAAATCAGTCTTCTTACTCATAGCTATGAAAATTTCAGGATGAAACCGGATGAAGACATCAAAGTTATGACGGATAGATTTTTTGTGATTGTCAATGTCCTCAAAGTATATGGAGAAATTATTCCAAACAAGAAGGTTGTGAGGAAGATCATTTTCTCTCTTCAAAAAGCTTGGCAATCGAAGAAGACGACAATCATCGAAGCTAAAGACCTAAAGTCTTTAAATCTTGATGAGCTTATTGGTTCTCTCCTCACGTATGAAATGATGATTCAAGATGAGGTAGATCTCGAGAAGAAGAAGGAGACTGAGAAAAAGAAGAATGTTGGAGTTGCTCTCAAATCCACAAAAGATGAGAGTGATTCTGATGATGAAGAAATGGCATTACGATTCAAAAAATTAATGAAGCCCAACAGAGGAAGAAAATTCAAATGAAATGAAGGCTTCAAAACTGAATCAAAGGAGAATGACCCTATCATTTGCTATGAATGCAAAAAGCCCGGGCATGTCAAACAGAAATAGTAAACAGTGCTTGATGGCCACCGGGAAGATTCTCGGTACCTCTAAGTCATTTGATTTAGAAGATTATTAATTTATGAGTAAGAGGAATACTAGGTTGCTTCGGATTATGAGAAATTATTTCGAAATACAGAAAGATTTCAAATTGAAAAACAAAATAATCTCAATCAAGACCGACAATGATCTTGAAAGTAAATTAATGAATTGCAAATCAAAATCGAGATTTGAAAAGAAAAATTCTGATTTGCATATTACTTTCAAGTCAATGATGATCATAAAAAAGAAATTGATCTTAAAGCTTATTTGATAAAGTTGGAACAAAACGCTTTGAAAAAGAGAAAATTCAAAATCCAATATTAAAATCTTAAAATCATCATAGAGGTCCCCAAAGAACATCAATGGTAAATCATTAGAAGTATATGGGTCCTTAAAGACTCAATACTACTAAGGATAACGATATCCTAAAAATGGATACTTAAGGGACTAGGATTTTAGGGATAATGAATATGGAACCAAAGAATTTGGGTACCAAAATAAAAATTATCTATGTTGTAGGAAAAGGAGCATTGCTACAAGGCACGAAATACAAGTTCAAACTCATAGTTCCTTGATAGTGGATGCTCAAGACACATGACTGGAGACAAGAGCTGGTTTATAGAGTTTAATGACAAAAATGTAGGAGTGGTAACCTTTGGTGACAACCCAAAAGGTTACATTGAAGGTATAGGTACTATAGGTAATACATCTTCCATACAATTAAAAAAAAGTATTATATGTGAATGGGTTGAAGCATAATCTCTTGAGTATTAGTCAATTATGTGATAAAGGATACAATGTCTTGTTTTAAACAAATGGTTGTAAAATTTTCGACATTGCATCTAATCGGATTATGCTTATTTGTCATAAAATAGGAAACATTACATGCATTTAGATTCATTAATAGACTAATTTATGCATAAAGCATGAGTGTTTTACAAAGACTAATTCAAGGTGAATTAGTAAGAGAGTTGCCAAAGCTCAAATTTGATAAAGATAAAATATGTGATGCATGCTAAAAAGGAAAACAAAAAAAAAAGTTTCCTTTAAATCCATTAATGATGTATCCACTAGTAGAGTATTACAATTGATCCATATAGATCTTTTTGGGTCAATTAGAACAATTAGCTTGGGTGGAAAACAATATGGTTTTGTATTAGTAGATGACTATTCTAGATATACTTGGGTTCTATTCTTAAGTACCAAAGATGAAACATTAGAACATTTTATCACTTTTTCAAAAGTAATCCAAAATGAAAAAGGTTATTCAATTTCAAGTGTTAGGAGTGATCATTGTACTGAATTTGAAAATCTTGGATTTATTGAGTTTTGTAATTCTAATAAAATTAGCCATAATTGTTTAGCACTTAGAACCCCTCAACAAAATGGAGTTGTTGGGAGGAAAAATAGAACTTTAGAAGAAATGGCTAGAACCATGCTTTGTGAAAACAATTTTCCAAAATATTTTTGGGCGGAAGCCACAAATACCGATTGTTATGTTATTAATCGAGTAATGATTATTCCTATTTTAAAGAAAACTCCATATGAAATTTTCAAAAATAAAAATCCTAACATTAGCTATTTTCATCCATTTGGATGTAAATGTTTTGTTTTAAACAACGGAAAAGATAACCTTGGCAAATTTGATGTTAAAGTGTGAGGAATTTTTCTGGGTATTCCTTAAATTCTAAAGCTTATCGAGTATTTAATAAAAGAACTTTAGTGGTAGAAGAGTCTATACGTGTTGTTTTCGATGATAATCCACTTCCGAGGAAGGATTATTGTGTTGATGATGATGTAGGTATTGTAAAAGCAAATAACGTTGGAGAACCATCATCAAAGGAAGAATTGAAGGATGAGGAAACTCAAGATGCCTTCAAGAATCTAACCATTGAAGAAATGGAAATCTCATACCCAAGAGAGTACAACTATGTCAAGGATGGTGAGATTTTAGGTGATCCATCCAAAGGGGTAACTACTCGATCTTCTCTTAGGGACGTATGTAATTATGTTGCATTTATCTCATGCATAGAGCCTAAAAATGTTAAAGAAGCATTAACCAATGAAAATTGGATTATGGCTATGAAAGAAGAGTTAAATTAATTTGATAGAAGTCAAGTATGAACATTAGTTGAAAGGCCTAGTAATAAATCTACTATAGGTACTAAATGGGTGTTTAGGAAAAAAATAGAGGAAAGTGGCAATATAGTGAGGAACAAGGCTAGACTTATTGTTCAAGGCTATACTCAAGAAGAAGGCATAGACTATGATGAAACATATGCTCCCGTAGCTAGGATGGAAGCTATTAGAATGTTATTAGCATTTGCATGTTTCAATGAATTTAAACTATATCAAATGGACGTTAAAAGTGCATTTTTAAATGGTTTCATAAAAGAAGAAGTGTATGTGGAACAACCTCCTGGTTTTGAAGATTCAAAATTTCCAAACCATGTTTTTAAGTTGACAAAAGATTTATATGGTTTAAAACAAGCTCCTAGAGCTTGGTATGAAAGATTGTCAAACTTTTTAATTGAAAAAGGTTTTTCAAAAGGGAAGGTTGACACTGCATTGTTTTTAAAGTGAAAAGTTAAAGATTTATTAGTAGTTCAAATTTATGTTGATGATACAATATTTGGTTCTACTAATGATGATCTTTGCCAAGAATTTTCTGAGCTAATGCAGAGTGAATTTGAGATGAGCATGATGGGGGAGCTTTTATTTTTCTTGGGGCACCAAATCAAGCAAAAAAAAAAGATTGTATCTTCATCAATCAAGAAAAATACATTAAGGATATGCTCAAGAAGT